TTGAATGCATGGCGTCTGTCCAGATCTCAAACGGCAAAGGACAAGGTAAAACAGACACGTGTTCACTGTGAACACAGAGGCTGTTTGCATGGAAACAGTGTCTGACTTTCTGCTTTCGACATGAACTGTAGCTTGCTGTGATCAGGGAGTCCCTGCAACCAAGGCTACAAGTCTTAGCTGCTCTCATCTTCTCAGCCTGCGACTTCCAGAGCACCAGTATAGACCACAGCGTAAACATTTCAAGATTCTGCTGACAGCATGCAAACGAGGCAAATTAGTGTGAAGTCAGCATGTTCAGAGGAAAGTGTTTTAAGTTTATACATAAAGAAGGATGAGAGGACAAGTCCGCTGAGAGTCAGGACGGTTAGGAAGCTTTCTATATGAAGAAGACTAAAAAGATGCAGGAACAGCACAGGGAAGAACTGAAGCACAAAACCCGCAATTCTCTGATGCTTAGAAAATAGGTGACCCTGATAAGAGGCAGTGATAAATTACAACCTTGTTGTTAACATGCTTCTAAAACCGCAAACAAAGTGAAATCACTGAGCCAAGGTCTTCCTGTTAATCAGAAAGAAGCTGCAAAATATTACCAAAACTCTACCAACATATGCAAACATGAAATGTTTGCCTTGTACCTGCAGTAGACACAGCAGTCCCGTAATGAACCTGGTCTGGTGAATAAATAATGGTGACATAAAGGCCATTATGCAACTGAAGCTAACAGCAGGGCATGTTCCAGAGGCAGTTATCTGTTAAATGCTTAGCGGCTGCTCAGCAAATAGCTTGATGAAATGTTCTGACTCGAGGTACAGAGCGACCAGTTTGGGAACAGTGTGTGTGCCTGCTAAAACAGACTTTAAAAAAAAAAAATCTAAATAAAACCAAAAGAGGGAGAACTGGCCATTTCCCATCTGGAATACAGACAGACACCTCTAATGGGTCGATCAACTAATGTGTACAAGTAAGAGGAAGAGAACAGTGTCCTTCATATTAACCATATTTTAATCCTTTTACTTTTCCAAGCATTCTTTTTTGCCAGGAAATAAAGACATGCATATCGATGGTGGGTCAAAGATTCACAGGTCTAGTATGTTCATAGTATGACATCCCACAACTGTCTGGCTTTTTATGCAGCTATTAAACTTTTCCAAACCCATAATCTATCAAAATTTATTTTTCCACATTTACAAAACATCCGGGCAGACGCTTCCAGACAAGGAAGCCTGAACGATAAGAGTTAGTGGAGAAAGGGTGACATGCTCACAGATGCATCCTGTTGCTACATGTCATTTCTGTGTTCCTCTTGGAGACAGCATCAGATGTCAGAAGAAACGACAGAAGTTAAAGAGCAGTGGAAGGAAAAGACAATGTCCCAACTTGATGGAGGAATTGCCATGCTCTGCAGATTGGTCAGTGAAAATAAATGCTAATGATATGGTGTCAAGAGAACTTGAGAACTTGATGCAAGTTTCATTTTGAATATATCTGGAGGAGATGGTGATGCTTGCCTTATTCTGTATAAAGGTACCCAATCATTTAAACATGTTTTTCATCAGCCACCTGATCGATATGAAAACCACTGACATTTCAGGCAGTTCTTGAAGTTGATGTGTTGGAAGCAGGAAAACTGGGCTGCGCAAGGAGCAACTTTGACAAGGGGAAAACAGTAGTGGCTAGTTGACTGGGTCAGAGCTCTCCCAGGCTGGCGCATGTTGTGGAGTGTTCACCATCTGTAGTGGTCTGTACCTATCAAAAGTGGTCCAAGGAAGGATAACCGGTGAACCAGCAATAGGGTCATGGGTGCCCCTGGCTCAGTGTTGCGAAGGCTAGCCCGTCTGATCTGATCTCACAGAAGAGCTACTGTCACGCAATCTGCTGAAAACCTTAGTGCTGGCTATGACAGACAGGTGTCAGAACACAGTGCATCACAGCTCGCTGTGTACAGGGCAGAGTAGCTACAGACCAGTCGGAAAGCACATTCTGATCCCTGTCCACTGCTGTGACCAAAGTGGACATCAGAACTGGATCATGGAGCAAAGGAAGAAGGCAGCCCGGTCTAATGGACCACAGAACACCTTCAGAGGTCTTGTGAGGTCCATGTCTTGACAGGTCAGAGCAGTTGTGGCGGTATGAGGGGGAACTACACAATATTAGGCAGGTGGTTTTAATGTGTGGTTGATTAGTATAGACATGTGTTTGGCTCTAAGGGCAATTTCATACTCTTCATTAATCTGACACAGCACCTGGGTAACAGTTGAATAAAGGAGTGGGAAAACATCACATGGTCCATTCAGTACCTAGACATGGATCACACAACTGACAGTGCCAAACCCTGACTAGCAGCAGGTTTGTGATCCTGATCAAGGCTGTGCAAAACAATGAACCTCACTGCATGTCTTCATGAAAAGATAGGCAGGAAATTAAATGACAGAATTTGCCTTATCTGGTGTTTAAAACGATAAATGACACAGGAAGAAATAGATAACTGAGCATCGCCTTATATTGTGGTTTTTCGTGTGTCTGATTTTGTCGTGCTGAACTTTTTGAGGAAGAGCTACTGCTATGGTAACAGCGCTAGTATCACTTTACACATACATCCACACTTCTGCAGAGGACTCAAATTTCACATTCACTTCTAACAAACTGCAACACAGATCAATACAACTGCAATGTGCCCTCTAAGGTTTGCTAGTGAACATTTTAGCTATGGCAGGTAAAAACCCAAATGTAACCCATTATTTTTGTCACTTTTCCAGCAAAAGAGATCTTTAAATAGAACAGGATCTCCAGATGATGGCTGGTTACCTGCCATGTGGCTCCAGCCACCGACCTACAAACCCCAGACAAGAATGAGCTGCAGCTGGTTGGAGGTCCTGTGCTGCTCACTGGGTAGCACATGGCACCAGTACTGACAGAGGAATGTACTCGGCTCCCTATGCACTCATGACACTATAAAGTGCTACATTTAAATGAATGCATCCTCAAGCTGCTCATGTAAGTGTGCATTTACCTCACAAATACAAGCAAAGCAGTTGCAGGATGGAAGCAGACTGATTTACTCTTGCTACTGTAACAGAGAAGTTTATAGTTTGTTCTCACATTTTATTAGCAGTTGTTTGATTTCTGCTTACAAAGGTTGTTATTGAAGGATTGTACTTCTTTGTTTTTAAATTATATCATTTAGAGTATAAGCACAAGGTAAATGGGTAACTAATACTGAAGGAACTTGTTTAACTCGATTCTACTTTCAAAACACAGGTTGAACTCTGCCCTTTCCTCTTTTGGCACTGTTTCGCATGCTTTTGGTACTAATTAAGCAGTAAAATTCATTCTGAATGCACAAGCAGGTTTTAAGTGAACAAAAATGTCAGTTAAGTAATAGTACTTCTGTTTGTGTTTGCTCTAGTGCTCCTTCCACCTAGATGACTGAGGAGCAATATTATAATTTTGTCTTACTTTGACATATTGTCTATTTCAAAGTAAAATAAAACAGTTATAGGATTAACTATGCAGCCCTGACACCCAGCTCTAACCTGTGGATAGAATGATGAGCAACGGTCACAACGTAACCTTGTGCTCCTGGTTGCAAAACCAGACTCAGTCATTTCCTTCACATGATTAATGACAGCACACTGTCATCACTCAGCAAAGCTTGCAGGACGGGTTGTGTTTTTTTTTTTTTTTTTTTTTGGCAGGCGAGATCAGGTTTACAGTCTCACTACAGCATGTTTACAGTGTTGTGTTTCCTAAAGGGGCATGTTTGTCACATCTGAAATGTTTACTTAGCACTCTTTATTCAGAGATACAGTACTTCCACACTAAATGTGAGTTTGTTTCCCTTTCACCTATCTAAACTCCTCCAAGTTTGTATTATTTGGGCTCAATTTGACTTCATAAAACCTGAAAAACTACAGACAGCAATCAGTTATTTTATTTAATAAAAAGCGCTATTAAACTGTCTGTCCCGTACTGCCATCCCTCCACAAAACAACCTAGCTTACCTAGATCTTTTAAAAGTAAGTGCTCAATAAAGACTACAACATATTTGTGGAAGTTGTTCTGATTGGGTAAATTCAACTACACTTTTCACTAATTATTCCTATTCTGTAATAAAGACAATTAAACATGACTACTTCCTAGTAAACAAAACCCCTGATGACCAATCAGGCAACTGAATGGTCAAGCCGAGTTAGCTGGGACGTTTCCAGTTAATATAATGCGATAGGCAATGAACCATTTGTGAAATAACTGCTGTTTTGTGAAATGTGTGTGTCCACACTTCCTGATTCTGACTGTGCATAGAGGAGGTTCCCATTTTGACATTTCTGAGCACAGGGCACTGTTATAATAAAGCATGAAGGGAATGTCTCGTCTCTGAAGTCATCCTCAAGAGCTGTACTGGGCAGACACAAGTCATCTTTTACCTCTTTATGCAAGAAACACTGTTGTAATGTTTCAGTCTCATCAAATTTGCACATAAAACTAAATTTCTCAAAAGTCCTGCACAGAAACTAGTTTTTATGCATTTTAACTACTGAAAAGCCATCAAAATGTTTTATATACCCTAAAAATCCCCATGGAGCAAAACTAAACAACAAATGACAACATGCTGGATAAGGTTTTTTGTCTGTTTGTTTTATTTAATGGCTGAATCTTGTACTGTAAACTGCAGCTGCATGGGGAAAAGTCATATCCAGCCTAGAACCAAGTCCCTGGTGTCCCACTTTAAGTAGCAAAGCACTGGAAGGGGAGAGCAATCTATTTCAATTACTTTGCAGATAATTTCTTGGGCAATAACAAGCCGTTTAGAGGAAAATTGTGAAGTGCAAGCCAACTACCAACCCATAAAAGGCACCAAGCTGAAGAAGTTGCTTTTCTGCGTTATCAGTGTGTTGTTCTCTCCAAACGGTGGACGGCGGGTGTGTCCCAGAAAATATTGGGGTGGTTACTGTGTGAAAGGTTACTGAGCAGGCACTGCTATGTTGAGCTACTGTACATACCTTCTGCAATAAGCTCTTCCACGGTGACTTGATATCGGCCGACTGCAAACACTTTCCCAAAGTAGCTGCTGACTCCGGAGCTGGAGCCGGAGCCGGACGCTCCTCCGAGTCCGCCGCTCTCGGACTTTGGCATTCTGGAAAACTTCTTCATCTTTTACTGTCTCTGTCAGTCCGCCCACCAAATACAGTCCCTGTTTGGTGGTAAATTACCCACAGTCCAATTGAACTCAGTTGTGTCCGACGTCTCCTATCTACTTATCTGAAATGTTTTCTTCTCCTGCATGCTCCGTGTCCGGTTCTCCTGGAGGGACTACTTGCTATCGGGTGATACGACATTAAAGTACAGTTAATATTCAAGCATCACGGTGGAATGATACACCCTGTCGGTGTCCTAGTGCTCGAACACTGACAGCCTCCACTCACAAAAATGGTCAAAAACAAAAAGTGTGATAGGCTCGTTAGCTAATGTGACACATCGCGCTAGCTGGCTGATGCTAGCAAGCACGGGCTCAGCGGTGTGCAGTCAGGACGCTTCACCGACAATGAAATGAGGGCAGGGGAGAAGCACAGCAATACAGCTTGCACTAATGTTTATACCACCTCCTCTGGTGGCAACCGATCCCTCAACGGAATATATCCAACCCGATAGCCCTCCAAAAGTAACCACGGTCTCGTTATCTTCACACACCGCGACTTGTTCACTTCACTTGGGCAAAGCGGCTAGCTAACTCGCTAGCTACGGTACTTAGCGGCTAACGAGTTTCGCTAGAGTTCCGCAACAAGGGCCTTGATTTGATAAAAAAAAAAAAAAAAAAAAAGTAGGTGTCCGAGCCTGATACAAGTGAGTGTCTGACGCTTATCAAAAACCCGCCAGCGAAATTGTTTTCTTTAGGTTCATCTGTATCGACTCCGTGCCAGCTTTGCTAACGGTAAACTTCTCATGACTCCCACAGAAGGCTTAAGTGGGTGGTTTGTTATTTACCCAATGATGGTAACAACCTAACCTGACGTGGCCCCGCCCCCTCTATTGTTATAATTGGTGTAAGTGGACAAAGTATGGAAGCCCTGTGAAGCTAAGAAGGCACAATGAATGAATGAATGAATGAATGAAGTTATGCACATAAACATGGACATAGGTTTTGTCTCAACATTGGTAGGAATGTAAAAGCCTCTCCCCACTCCAACCCCCACCAGCGCATTTGCTGTGAGATCTGTATTATTGGGTCTCACTTATTTTTGAGAGCAATTTGGAGTGACAGCCCTGTTAACATACTGTTGTCAACACACCGATTGACAGCTATCGCCTCCTCTGTATATGGGAGCAAATATGACATTTACACGTAACATAAGCTTTACATTGCCTACTCCCTTTCATCAGTCAAATGCTAGCTACATTCAGTCCCCTTGACTATTGACCATAAGTGTAACACATTAGTCACAAGGACACCTCTGCTACTATATGCTTGAAGAGGCTTTAAACAGAATGTGAGGGTGTTATTACTCTTTAACATCCATTTATTTTGCAGTCACACTCAGTGCAACTTTGAAAAAAGTCAGTCGCAGCTTTAAAAAATTTGGTCACAAAATGCGACTGATCACTTGGGAGTCCGGAGCCCTGCAGTTTATATACTGTAATATTAGAATAAAGTGAAAAAAGGCCCCTTATTCCCCAAAAATGTGGAGTTTATTAGCAAATTTTCACATCTGAGAAGCTGGTATCAATCGATTTAGCGTTTTTGCTAAGTAAGCCTATTTGTTGTGGGGTTTTTTTTGTTGTTGTTGTTGCTCCTAGAATAACATGCTTCCATGAGAAGTGCCCAGACAATGCTCATCTATGACAGGGCAGCGTGAGTGGCAGCCAGACTAGGCAGTGTGATTGAGGAAGGAGAACACAGAACAGACTGGAAAGAATGCATAAAGAAATAAACCAACCCCGGGCTATGCTGGAGTAATGTGTCATCCTCACTCACATTTATCATCTTGTTCATTATTAAGCATCATTATCCAGAATCACAGCCTTCATCTGTATCTTTGTTCTACCTGTGAAGCATTGCTGTTTTTAAGGCATGGGTTACTTCTTCAGTATGAAGTATGATCTCTCTCCCTTTAATTTTAAAGATGGTTCGCAGTGGAAAAACAATGTCATTTATCACCAGGCACTGCCAATGAGGAAGTTGTGTGACAGCTGCCGCTGTGAACTACAGGCTTTGTGAACAAAGGCATGTGTGTAGGCTGGATAATCCACCATATTCTTCAGCAGACTTTAATTCCTTCATGTGCAGTGTTACTCAAAGTCACCTTTGTCATCTATACATCACTTGGTAGAGGAGGAAAATGTTGACTTCTGTGGGTAACTGGTCACAATTAACATATTCAGGTCAGTGGTTATAGGGGGAGCACATGGCTGAAATGGGGATTACATAAGAGATGAGGAGGAGCAAAGCAGGATCACATGACTGTATAAAGTCCCATGTGTGGACATATCCTGTTCCGGCATGGACGGGGGTGTCTTTCCTCCCTGACACACTTATTATTGTCTGGCTGTGTGCTGCCACCTGTTGGTGTGTGAATACACAGAAACATACAGATTGGTCATCATTCAGCAGGTTCAGGTAAATGTGCCAGTTCGAACCTCCTGGAAGAGTTGGGCATTCAGTTTGTTGAGTAACATTAGCAAATATCACAAATACATTTGACATTTTCACAGCACATGTTAAAATATTTGTGTAAGAATCTGAAAGAAAGGAGGAAGTGAGTTTGCATGCATTTAATGCACCAAATAAAAGCCATACAAACTAAACATTTAAGACAGGGCAATCATAGGATTTTGATTTTTTTATTACTAAAAAAGGCACCAAATACAGGCATCATATTGATAGCTTCGTAGTTATTTTCCACAAAATGATAGCACCAAAAATATAATGTTATTTCCCAGAATTCCCAGTTCCCATTGTGTTTGATAGGCACACATTTGAAGGAAGAGGTGGGATTAGATGGTGAGAAAGACGCTTCAGCGTCTTTTCTTTTGCAGTGCTCTCCAATCAGTGTCACAAAAATATTACAGTAACATGGGGGGGTACATCAGTAGTTGGGTGTAACATAATACATCAGGAGAGACTAACAGTAATACTTTAAAAACATCTGAGTGGGACTTGAGTGGGTGTAAATAAAAAGTGAAGGACTGTGTCTTTTGGTGAAGTGAAGGCAAGTAGACACATGTCTCTTATAAAATACATAGTTTTTAAAAGTGACTAATTTAGAGCAGTAGTAAGGCTAAAGCGCTCTGTGGCGTGGACGGGATCGAAACGTTTGCTGTCCAAACAGTGGCATGGAAATATCCATTTTCTCACTCTTGGGAAAAGGAGAACACTGAAAAAAAATACTGCATGGCACTTAATGTTCGCAGCTGTCAGAGAACAGAATGAACACAAGAAGACTGTGTTGAAACCAGAAGTTATCATTTGCTCAACGTGACAGTTCATCTCTTAGTAAGGCGTGAAATACACATTTTCTTAAAATGCAAATGATTTACTGCTCACATGGGAAAGATTAACAAAGGTTATGGCATAATTGCACTTGGTGTCATTAATTTTTGTTATTATTTACACTGCACTCATTCAGCCTCAGGCGACAGCAGCACACCGAAAGTGAGTAATACTTTTACACAGTCAGAAGCAGCTGCAGCCGATGTAGAAGTCGCTCCACAGCAAAATGTAGTTCTGTTCTGTTCTGTTTAGTCAGAGGTTTTCATTCACCTGCAGAAACAGTGACTGCCAGCTGAGGGCAGGTCTTCTACAGCGGCTGCCACAACACAGTAGTGACACTTAGTAGCAGTGAAATGACTCGATGCAGCACAGAAGAGACAATCACCAGTGTATGAGCTACCAGTCACCATTTTGGCGCTAAGAAGGATGTTCACGTCATGGACAGTGGTTCCAGGTGGAGTGTGGGTGATTGGACGCAGAGGAGTGGTTGGTGGATTCCTGAGGTAGCTCAGTTGTGAAATGATTAAAATGCTGTGTTGCCATCTGCACGTTACTCTTCCCTTTTTCAAAGTGGTATAAAAATACGTTAATAAACATTTTGTTCCTTAGCTACAAACTTTCTTTTAAAAAATACCTTTTTCAAATTCGAATTCCTCCTCCTCCTCGTCAGTGTTTCAGACCTCAGTGCCGTCATTGAGGTTGTTGTGGAGCTTGATCTCCAGGTTGACCTGTTTGACCTTGGCCTTGCTGTTGGCCTCCTGGTTGCGGTTGAGGATGTTGATGTTCCTTACTGTGCAGTGCTTGGTGCTAAAGTTCTTCTCCACACACTTGTCCATGCACACTTCCACCTTAGTGTTAAGTGGATACTCCTCGTAGACTTTCAGAGTCTTCTTGCTCCTCTTCTTGGCCGACCGTCGGCAGCGGCGGAACAGCAAGCAGGACGCTAGCAGAACCAGGACCAGCAGGGTGACGGCAGCCACGCCCCCGCCCACTGAGCTGCCTATGTGGGCGTTAAAGGTGGCGGAAGGCCCGGCCTCCAGGCGGAGCGACTTCATGTTGGTGCCGTTCTTCACCTGGTCGCCCTCGTTGTCATAGATGAGCGACTCGTCCAGTGTCAGGCGCCCGCTGCGATCCACCAGGTCCCGTTTGGGGCGGCTCAGCTGGTAAGTGAGCGAGCGCTGAATCCTGGGGCTGGTCCGTGTCTCTGGGCCGATCACGTAAATCACCTGTAGGTACCATTGGTGCCCTGCCTCCACCTGTCAGTCAACACAGAGAGAAAAGGAGAGCATTATCGATGGAAGGAGACTTCCCCAGTTATTCCAGATTTCCATTCAGAAAACCACTATAGATTCTACAATTTTTGACTTGTGATGAACATGTTAGCAAACAGTTGCCTAGTTACACATCCAGCAAACACAGAGCGACATTAGCCTTCATGCAGAGTAGTGTTTTGGTGTCCACCCACTGATTTTAAGTTCAATACTCTCTTTTTAGCTGCTTTGCTGTCCACTAACACCAGAGGGAAACATCTGGCTCCTTAGCTGCTAAATGCACCACTGTGACCACCAGCTAGCGTCTAGCTTTCCCTGCCATGATGTGATCCCACACACCTTGTAGAGAGCATCAACCTTCATTGTAAAGCCGTCGACACCCGGCATGGCTGTCATAGACTGCAGCTCCGGGATGTCGGAGGCAAAATGAGCCTCAAAGGGAACATCGTGAAAGAATCTGTCACAGACGTCCAGCTGTTTACGATCCTGCAGAAGAAGCATGAAGAGATCAGAGCTCTGAGCAGCTGCTACTGTGCTGTAAAAAGAACTGGGGTAAAGGTGACCTCACTGCTAAAGTACATATTTAACTAGAGAAAATCTCCACTATGGAAACATACAGCCTTTAATCAGATTTCTCCCTGGCCAGGACCTGAGGCTTCTCTGATGAAGACAGTGCTGTGGCAGTGTTTTCTGAACATGTTCAATCTGCACTCCAGGTCCTAGCTACAACTTCCCTAAAGGAAAAGAAGCACCACAGATTCTCCAAGACATTGATTTATCTTTACTGAAGAGAAAACCTTTACTTGAGCCTTTGTTTCTGACCTGGCCCTGTTTCTTGTGCTGCTGTGTTTCACAATAAGATGTTTCCAGTAATTCCGTTCCTTCCCTGAAAATCTTTTATTGTGAAACAACTGCAGAATGTGTCGACTTCAACAGCAGGTCAGCGCACAGACATGGCAGAAAAGTGGAACTGATCAGAATAAATAATTATTGGAACAGATGCTCTTGTACTGATGTAATTGATGCTATGGACATTGCGTTTAATTTGTTAAACCTTTTCATTATCTGAATACTTGAGTTCTTAGAGCGGTGACAGTGTGAAACCTAAATATTTTGGTATTTAATATTTACTAATGACCTTGGTAATGATATCTACCTCACTCTTTAAACATGTACCACTGACTAGAGTAGAACAAAGTAAGCCTAAATATTTGTACCAGCAGGAGAAAGCGGTGTTTGAGGTGTTTGTTTGGTTGGATGCAGCCGTACTGCGGCCCCTCATTGTACAGCGTCCCTGTTGGGTCAAAGAAGGGGACGTATCCGTCCCTGCCGGTGCAGAGGTAAACCTTCTCCAGCTGCAGTCTGTAGGCTGCGTTCAGGTTCTGCTCTGGGTTCCACAACACCCGGCCATACAGAGTCTGGCCTGCAGGGGGCAGCATGGGCACAAAAATATTTGAGCGTATGTATGAAAAACCTTCCCATCAGTCTTGATCTGTTACTTGAATGACTTTAAATAAAGATTGCATTATCTTGTGAACCAGATGCAGCTCACCTTCGAATAAAACACTACCAAGAGGGCTCAAAGCCCAAAGCCCAATAAATGTATTAAAGACAGCTACTTTTGCAGGTCATGAGGCATATAATTGAAAAAATATGGTTCAAGTCCAGGAAATTTGACAGATCTTTTATCAAACGAATCAGCGAGTCTGCCACTGTTAGAAAAAGTTCACTCAAAATCTTTAGTGACAGCTGAGCAACATTTAAGAGGTTTACTTCAGTTTATTTCCACAAACTCTACTGTCATACCCATGGAGAACGCTCCCTTGTAGTCCATCTCAGCCATGGAGACATCAGCCGTTGCCGGGTCCATCATGAACACCTTCTCATTGTTGCACAGCTGGAACTCCGTGTTGAGAGAGTAAACCACAGGCACGGGCCGATTGGTCTGCTGGAAGGCGATCGGTACAAGGAACCTGTCGGAGAGCAACAACACAATTCAGAACTTGTGCTCAAAGGAACACCGGACTCAAGTTGGACTTCAGTAACAAATATACTATATGAGAATGCTCTGGGTCTCTACAGCTGCATGGGCACATACTTCTCTGGAGCGTGAGCGGTACAGGACAGGGCCTTGTCCCCGGGGTCGATCCAGGGCTGAGTGGGCTGCACAGTGCAGGGGATCAAAAACACTGTGTACTCTCCAGAGTAGTCCTTCCTGTTACACATTAAAACAACACAAAAGGATTATTATCAAGCAGTGAGAAACTGAGGGGTCGATTCTTAATCTTCGAGTCTTCTGAAATCCAGAGGATCAGATAAAATCCTGACTTGCCCGGGAGTCAAACACATCATTTAAGGATTTTATAGCAATCCCTACATTCGCAAGGTTAGAAGAGTCATTAGTTTTCATGATGAACTTATGAATATGAGGGGCTTCTTGGTTGGCAATCTTAGTATGAAGAACAAAACTTTGCTAAGAAGAATTATGAATGTTAGCTGAATTATCTGAGCCACCTGTAGCAGATTAGAGTCCTACAGAAGGCACAGGTCATCTTATCAGGTCCCTGGCATCTCTTACAGTTTGACTTGCTTCCGTCGGGATGGGGGTCTTATCTTCCAGCAGGTGGTACAAATACGTAGATAGGAGGTCTTTTATTCCATCAGCTATTGGCTTTTTAAACAAAATGTGACTTGTGTCGCCTGGGTCTGGCACCCCCTGGTTTTAAGGTTTTAAGATGTAGGTCCTGTCCTTTGTGTTGGTGACAGTGTGTAGTGTCAGATGTATAAATGGTACATCTGTTTTAACTGCTGTATATCTATTCTATTTTGTTGGCTGCCGTTTCCTTTGGAGACACTGAAGCTTCACTCTCTGTAGATGTGATTAAGAACTCCTTAGGGTGACTTCATGCTGACTTCATTAGACTAATCAAAAGATTTATAATCTGTTATTTTCAGCTAATCTCCAAATCTCATGATTTCTACAAACTGTAACTCTGGAACAAAGCTCCAGTTGTTGTTTGCCTTTTGCTATTCTGTAAATATCATGACTGACATTTACATGTTCCTAAATAAAATCGGATGCAAAATGTATAATGCCTATACACAGTGCAATTTGAAATTTCCACATCAGGACCATTTACGCCCTCTGGCTGTGGATGAATCTGCTGACCTGCTGTAGGAGCTGGTGGCCCTCCACAGCTGGTACGGTGAGTCGAAGGTCTGGGCGCTCCACAGCAGCTGCATGTCAAACTCCACACCACCGAGGTGGTCGGGAGCCATCAGGCGGGACTTGTGTCCAGGCAGAGTGTGATGTTCGAGGACAAACTGACCTGAAAGTAGGACAAATGGAAGACTTTTCAGCTGTTAGTTCATCAAAGTATATTTGTTGTATTGATAAGACACTTTTAAAGAAAAATCAAAAAAGCTACTGACTTCTTTTGAAGCTTAACATCTGAAATGTTGTGAACTGACCTCTGAACTTGGCGTGGGTTTTGAACTCAATCACCAGTCGCCCGTCTTCTCTGATGTAAATCCTGATGATCTGCAGTCTGGCTGAGAGGACACTGTCGGTCTGGATACCTACAGACAGGGAACACCGGCCAAAGAAGTCAGAGCGCACCACTGAGCAGACTGATACCAGGAGGGGGATATTTTCAAACATGAACCAAGCCATCATTAAACGCACCATTAAACTGTTCATTCACACTGTTCTCATAATGACTTTGCTAATATTTTGTTTTGTAATACAGACAAAGATTTGATTTGATTTGATTTATTCTTTCAAACATGTAACGACAGTCAATATGTCAACACACATAATTTCACACAAATCCACAAATGCATTATTATACCTAGTACATGCTTGAACGGAGTAGGAAGAAGTTAGACTTATCTAGTCCTACCCAATAACATCATCTTACCATTGGTTTGCAAGCAGTATTACTACATGGATAATTTTGTTCTACACCACGCTAGTGATATAGCCTGTTCTTGCATATATCTTGATTGACACATACCTTTATATTTATGTTTAAACTCGTCAATTCTATTACTATTTTTTATGTCTACACTTAAATTATTCCATAGTTTTACCCCACTTATGGAAATACAAAATCTTTTTTTGGTTGGACGTATAGCATGAATTTTTAAATTTAATTGACCCCTTAAATTGTATCCCCCTTCCCTTTCATTAAATAGTTTTTGAATTCCACCAGGTAATAAATTGTTCCTGGCTTTATACATAAACACAGCAGTCTTGTGTCCCACTAAATCAAAAAATTTTAACAATTTAGACTGTATGAAAGCTCCATTGGTGTGATCCCTGTATCCCATCTTATGCACAATTCTTATCGCTCTTTTTTGTAATATATACAATGGTTGAAGTGAGCTTTTGTATGTATTTCCCCAGTTTTCAACGCCATACTCCAAGTATGGTAAAATCAATGAAGAATACAAAATACGTAGTGCTTTCCTGTCCAAAATATATCTAACCCTTGCCAATATCGATATGTTTTTTGTTATTTTGTGTTGAATATATCTGATATGAGATTTCCAGGTGAATTTATCATCAACTATAACACCTAGAAATTTAATTTCATATACTCGTTCTATATTAGCTCCCCCAATTTTCAATTGAAGTTCGTTATCTAGTCTACAATTCATCAGATGTGTACTGTGTTCAGTCCCGACCTGTCCTCCAGAGTACGGTGTCATAGAAGAAAGAGAACTCCATCTCGGTGTGATGCTCCAGAGAAGCCCAGCCTCTTGGTGCTGTCACGTAGATGTAGGACACGTAGAGGGGAACCTGCACCGTCAGGAAGGACTGAGCCGAGTCCCGAACCTGGGAGAACAACAGCATGCTTTAATGCTGGTTCTCTGGGACCACTTCACAGGCTTATACCAGGATTAGAGCACCACTGTAAACAAGTACTTTCCTGATGAGAAATATGCAATTTTTTTTCTCCACAGTTCTCCTATTATTTCCACCAAGGATGTTATAGCCTTAGTTAATCTGTGTTTCTGTCAACAGTTCCAAGGAACCTGGAGCTCTGTGAGAGCCAGCTGGCAGATGGGTCTTGACAACCCATTGTTGACATCCGAAACAAATGCTGACAAAACAATCTTTAACAGCTTTTTCACCTGTTCTGGAGCTTTCATACTGCACATTGTTTCCGTCAGTCTCAGCTTGAAAAAAAAAAAAGACCTAATGGAAAGTTTGCAGCTCCAAGACAATGGGCCAAAACCTCTGATGATGAAGACTGTGTGATATGATCAAAAGCCCCAGAGCAAGTGAGTAGTGAATTATATGTGGAGATAACCACTGACTGCATTTTGGTAATGACTCAAAACGGTAGCTTGAAATAAAAGCGTTACACATCTTCAGGTATAAGACCAAGTCAGGAAGCAGCTGTGGTGTCATAGTGACAGACGTTAACAGTGGGCATTCCTCATACCTCACACTTATCTGGGGGTTACACACAGTACCTGGAAATCGGCGGTGACGGAGCCCCCGCACACGTCAATGAGCTCGGTCATGTCGTAGTATGCGTCAAAGGTCCAGATGCAGCTCTTGAGGTTGAGGTGCTTGTAGAGCTGGATGCTCTTGGCCTCCCGGACATTGGGGTTGAACTGGTAAGGGCGGTCATAACCCGGTCCCAGAGAGATGCTGTCATAGGATACATCATCCAGAAAACCCGCCTCTGTGGAACAGTGTCATTAAAGTTTGTATTAGCTGGAACAGAGCCACAAACTCTTTGTGCCATGGCAAAACACTTTGATTCAAGCTACATCTCTACTCTATGCTGCATTACCAGATGATCATTCTGGTAAAACAGAGCTAGCCGTGAGTTGTACTGACTACAAACTTTCAGACAAGGATTAGGATTTCTGTGATCAGTGGTTATGGCATAAGTGCAATAAAACAGGTTTCCTGATACAGAAAATAACAGATGTGGATGAGGAAACACACTCTTCACCTCTGCTTATTTTACCAACATAAGAGCTTGGACTGTAAAACGTGGCTGACTACGCTGTAGATGGTGCTTAACACTTGATCTCCTGTTACAACCCTACGGAGGCCTTTGACATAAAGTGACGCACAGCAGGTCCATTTGTGTTTATCTGAGTCTGCGTTTGTGTGACATGTATATGTGTCTGACCAGAAAGGCCCTCCAGGTCTTTGAGGGTGACCAGGTTGGAGCAGACATGCTGCTGCCTATAGATTGACTCCGACAGCAGGAAGTGCAGGTTGTGCAGAGGCATAGTGGACACCAGGGGGAGCATGCCATCCTGATGGGGGATCTGCACTGAGATGTGGATCCTAAAGAGACATTTACAGAGCAGAAAATAGGAAACATTTAAAAAACAGTTGCTTAACTTTTTGTGAAAACTTCAATGTACAAAGTCTCAGTCCACCTGTCCCAACTCACCGGTTGGGGTGCTCCTTGTGCTTGACGTCCAGATACTTGAGGGTGGCGATGAAAGACTGAGCCTGGAAGCCTCTGGCGGTTCCCGTGGTAACAGGTGTGTGGCAGATGGAGCCCTCTGTGCCAATGGTGGCAATGTTGCTCCTCAGTGGCGTTCCAAGGTGACCAGCTTTATCCCTGGCCTGAGCCACACAGCGAATGTGGAAGCGACGACTGAAATAAATACTGTCCAGGACCTGAGAGATGCAAAAGAACATCACATTTCTAAAAAAGAGGGTTAAATGCATTTTATCAAAACAAAGCAAAACAATCTCTTTTGAGAAGGATAAAAAAGAGAAAAATAGTTGAGTCTGGAGGTGTCAATGAGAGTACTTCTCGCTCCTCAACCAGCAGCTCACCATATGGTTGATGCTGGTATACGGGGTGGTGTCTGTGACCGTCTCGAAGGGGGACCGGGCACCGCTGGTGTCGGTGGGTGCCGCCACTTCCCAGGAGAAGTGAACTTTGGTCTGGTTGATCCCTGCCTCCTCACAGCGCTCCTTCATCACAGAGAACTTGGGGTAGTGGGGATCACAGGGGGTGACACACACCAGGGGGTAACCTGGAGAGGGCGTTTTCTTACTGCCTTCCTTGGTCACCTCCTGGACGTGGTCATAGTCAGCAAGAGAGACCACCTGTGGAGAAAGTAGAATGGTTAATGATAAAAAGGAGAATTAAAAGTAAAGAAGTAAAATCACCCATCATGTAATAATTTAATGGCTGAACTCATTGTACTGTAAATGCTTCTGGTTAAATACATGAAAAATGTAAAAGCCTGTAAAAAATGCCTGAAGGAAAAGGCTTGTTTACTGCTGCTGTTTTGGAGTCACTGAATGAAAGGAGAGGCATAATTTTGCTGGGAGCGGAGATGTTTTTTGTTTCTAGTGCCAGGCTCTGTAAGTGCTACAAACAACACATTAAGCTGTCAGTGCTGCGGGAAACAGACAAACGCATATGTCCTCTGTTGTAAACAAACCAGCAAAGTCTTTCAAAAAACTGTGTACTACACACCCTGTTCTAGTCTCCTCTGCTGCTTCTTGTTTGTTTATTGGTGTCGTTTTGAGTTCTTATTACCTCCGTCACAGAGGGAATGTTTTTGCAGGTGTTTGTTGGGTTGTTTATTCACAGCATAACTCTAAAAGTTATGAAAGAATTTTAATGATTTTTTTTTCTTTGGAGAGGTAGGATATGAGCCACAGAACAATTCATTAGCTTTTGGTGCTGATCCAGATAATTATCTGGATCCAGGAATTTATTAGAGGATCCTTCACAATTCCGAGATGGAGATGGGTCAATTTCAATTTGAGTTTGTTTCTAACTCCATACACAGTGCCAAGAATGCTTGGACAAAAATCGCAAGACCATATCCCCATCAGATCAACCACACACCAAAATCTAATCTGGATTTTACACAGCCTGATAACCCCAGTGACCATGGGACAGGATGTGGTGTCTCAGCTACACCCTCCTCCATGACCCTCTGCTGGCTACAGCCCTTCTGTTGTTATTCCAGCATCTCTACCCTGTGTTGTCGAAGTACGATAATACTTTGCAATAAAGTTTAAACTTATGCTTAGATTGGGTTCAGATGTGGCGTTCGTCATTATTAGCATTAGCCACCTAGCATGGTCAGGATTTTATCTTTGCGGTGAATTAATATCATTTCAATTTGGGAGTAGGTGGAGCTTTGTGTAATGTCAGTGCTTTGTGTCACATCAGCAGTAACCAGAGCGTTCTACTGGACTGACACATTTACTGTTAGCCAGCTAACGCTAGCTTCAGACTGGAGGCTGTATTTGGTACAGTTTGTTCCAACCAGGCATCTGTAGTTTATGTTGTCACTTGGAAACAAGATGTGATGGGAGGAGCAAAGAGTGTTTAGGAGCAGGTTATGGTGTCAGTTCGTTTTTTGTCTTTCTAGACAATCTAAGATGAGAGGAAAATAGACGGTTTAGCTTAAAGCCCTGTAAACAGCTTCCTTACAATAGGTGGTGCAGGAAGGATGAGGCTGCCTGCAGCCTCCTGGTCCAGAATGGTCACTGTTGCCATAGTGATCTCCCCAAGTACCGCCTCTACAGGGTCGTCAGGGCCGAGAACCAATGAGAAGGACTCATGCCACTCCCTGTCCTCATTAGACAGAATCTCCACTTTGAACAGGATATGGTCCATTCCTACGAAATGAAGAAACCAATAAAATGATTCCAGTCATACTGCGCTCCTATAACACCCACACTAGGCCTTCGATTTTCAAACACAGAAAATAACAGTGAGGCGTTACTTGTCTGGACCATTTCTTTTGATTAGTCACATGTCAGTTTTTAGCACTGACCGGGGATGAACTTGAGCACTCGGCTGTTGGGATTGTAGTCCACTCCAGACTGGGCCGATCCATCCCGGGTGCTGCAACGGATCTTGGAGGTCCGGTCCAGATCACCTCGGCGGATCACCTTAATGTTGAGCACCTCAATGCCATCAGGACCAGGAGGCTCTCTGACCTGATAGGCCCCCTGCTCGAACTCGATGGTGGGAGCTGTAGGAGCAACAGAGGATGAAAATTCCAGTGATGCCCACCGATGGTTCCTTCTATTCTAAGTGATGCACTCAGTTAATGGGTAATCAAGTACACCTACTGCCGATAAAACGCCAGTCCTGCGATAAATGCTTCCATTATGAAGGCTATGATGATCAGTCACTGAGAGGTGAGTAGAAAGGCTGGAATTGTTGTGTCTCACCGAGAGCCGTTTCTACAGTCTTATGTGTCTGACTTTTTATCAGTTTGAAGTTTTAACTTGGTGTACCTACAGGAACATGCTGGCAACTCCGTGTATACAGAGATGCTTAATATATTATCATCAACAGTAAACATGACTAGTCTACAAACTAAGCAATAAAATGAACAATAAAAAAACATAAATGTGTACAATAATTTTACTGCTACTGAATTAATTTACAAAAACATTATTAAAAATTACCCCAATAAAAAACAACCCAAAGAGAATAAGTCTCTAAAAACACCACCAACCATGATATGAGAAAAATTTGGTTAATTAGTTTTACTAAATTAGTAACGGCTCAGCAGTCAATGAGCCTTCATCAGCACTAGAGCTGCAATGAGTTGTCAATTAATTGATCAGTCAATTGACAAATAGCTGACAAGTATTTTGATGAGAAAAACTGAAGACAATTTAACTGAGCAATTGAGAAACTAATCTTCAGATTAATCAATGATGAAACTATGCCCTAATAAGTACATCAGCATATTTACTCTATGTGAAGGCCAGGCAAGTTTATTTATTTAGCATATTTGAATGTGCACAATGTAGACCAATAGATAAACACTGAGATGCATACACAGATAAATCAATAGAATGCAAATTAGATTAAAACATTAAATACAAATTAAAGAAACAATTACAAAACAGCACAAAGCAGCAACATGTAAGTGCAGCGACCGAGTACTTTTAGGAGACTATGAATTCTCACTGCTCTCATTATACTTTCTGCCCCTTTGAATCATAAGATGACTGCTTACCATCTTCATCATTGGTGATGGTGATGGTGACGATGTCACTAGCGCCCACCATGGCGCCGCTCCAGTGGTCACCCAGTGGCGTCCCAAGATGCACCTGGAACTCCTCCTCAGGCTCGAATACAGAGTCATCATTGATGTGAATAGTGCAGTTCTTCACCTGGGAAACAAACAAACAAGATTTTAATGGGCAGGTAACTGCCAGCAAAGACACACAGAGTCAAAGTAGCATCTGATAAACGTTCCACCTTCTCTCCTTTGAGGAAAGTGATGCGTGATTCGTCAGCGTTCCTCCTTTCCTCAAAGTCGTCCATCACCATGGCAGACATGGTTCGGGTAAAACAGCGCACCGACGACTTGAAGGACAGGTCACCTGTGCGGATGATGGGGATGTGGAGGACGCTGTCTCTCTCTTTCACAGTGTAGGTGCTCTTCTCAAACTGCATGCTGGGAACTGAGAGATAGGATGATAGCTGTGAGGAAGCTGACAAAGTATGTAAGCTACGAGGAGGTGCCAATGAAGAATGAGATACATCTCTGATTTTAAATGAATGTTTTAAAGTCTGTCACTTGTGTGTACATACTGTCCTGGAAGGTGTCGGTGATGATGACGTTGGCTTCATAAGGCTCTTGGAGGACAGCACCCTGAGGCGAACTGATGAAGACCACAAAGGTCTCGGATCCTTCAATAGATGGATTCTGGATGTCGTCCATGATGGTCAAACTGCAGGTCTGTAAAAAAACACGAGGCCAGCGTTAGCAAGCTTTTTAAAGATGTGCTACTGTACCTTGTGCAAAGTCAGGGTGGCTTCTAATGTTCTTAGCACCAAAAGACTGCTTCAGCACAGAGGAAGACATAAATACTCTGAGATAGCTGCTGGACCTGATGAAATGAAACAGTCTGATGCTGTGCTGCAGAGACTCTCTCCTCACCTCCTCAGTTTTTCCAGGTTTAAACTCCACTTTCTTGGAGCTGGGGATGTAGTCGACCCCGGGGCTGGCTGAGAGAGGCTCTGAAGGTCGGGTGGCGCACCACACCGACGTCACAGAGGACAGATCACTGCCGTGGCGCAGCACTGGTATTTCAATAGTGCCTGGAGACAAAAAGCATAGATGTACCCTGAGGCATCTATATCCTGAGGCAAACAGATGACGGCCTAAAATAATTGGTGACCATCAAAAGCCCTGCTTTACAAAGTCTGCTTTGGGCTGCAATTTTAAAGATACTTAAGTCACAGACTATTAAGCAGCAGAATAAATCGCTAGAGAAACTGAATTTTACAGCTACTTTCACAGCAACTAATTGTGCTGACAGCTCAGTGCTGCATGGTTGTTGCCTTTGAAGCTATGTCCAAGTAGTAGCCAGACAGACTGGCCGAGAGATGAGGGAGGGGCGGCGGTGCATTTATCTTTTTTCTGAGTAACAAATGACACTAGCTTTTAAGTTAAAATGCTGTTACGATTATATGTGCCATAGTTTAACAGCCAACACACTGACTTGGAAAGAGCAGCCTGTAATTGTTCCAAGAGGTTACTATCAATCTGTAAGGGTGTCCCACTTCAAAACGTCTTCTTGGGTCCAAATTAAATTAAGAAGACTTTAACAAAGGGTGGGGGTCCACAGAGACTATACCCACATGAAATTAATACACCCTTGGATTGAGCAGTTAGGAATTTCCCTGTCCAACGACTGTTCTTGTCCTTTCTAATTTCCCCATGGAGATCATTACATGTTCACATTTCTCTTAAATAGTATATCCCACCATTATGTCTGAAAGGAGAGTGTAACTTAATTTCTTAATTTCTCTTGGTGATGGAGAACAACTGCAGAAAGAAATGAGATCCATACAGCTCCTCTGTAAACAGGTGGCTGTAAGAAATCAGCTCATACCTGCATCTTCACTGAAAGTAAAGGAGGCGTTTGCAAGAGAGACAGTCGATGCATCGTTGGGTCCATCGATGACAACCTTGGCCACCGTCACGTCCCCTATACGGGCGTTATCAGAGGCATCTGCCAGCACCAGCTCAAATTCCTCAGACAGCTCATATTCACTGTCATCAATGAGCTTAATGTCGCAAGTGGACATGCTGACCCCAGGGCCGAAGATGACGCGGTTGTCACTGGTCATACCGCGGCTCTTGTAGTCGGATCCAGACTCCAGAGCACGGAGGCTGCTGCCCTGAGCCGACTTGGCCACGGTGTAGCAGAGAGCTGACACGGTGCTGGAAGTGTCACCTGAGTGAAACAAGGAAGGAGAGGGAGGGTCACTGCTGGTCACATGCTGGCTACCACATCTCTGCAGCAGAGGACTCTGCAACTTTGTACTGCTCTAAAATATACATTTTATTTTTTAAATTGTTTTCCTTTATTGTAAAGTTATTGTTTTCCATTCCAAAATCCAACCCATCCCCTTGGGTGAGTGGTAAAACAAACAGCAACAGCAACAGGAAAAATAATTCAAATAACTAAAATACATAGATATTTAAGTGGCCATTATCACAGATACAGGTCAGACACCTTTCCTAGAGTCCTAGAGACTCAACAGTCCAAGGGTTCCATGTGTGGAAGCCATGCTTTCAAGAAGTCGTCCTCTTTACAATGAAGCTTATAGTAAATTTTATCAAGAGGAATATGGCTAGAGATTTCATTTAGCTAATGTGAGGTTGTAGGTACGTACATTTTCAGACTTCCACTTAACCACGATACACTAAACACACAGCTTCTACAAGTGAAGAGTAAAGCAAACATTCAAGGGGACTGGACAGGGCCTGAGGGTTTCTTTGTTCTGATTAGAGGTTTTAGTCACTCTAAGTCCCTAAGTGTCAGCCCTGTCATAGACTGGCGACCTGTCCAGGGTGGACACCGCCTCTCGCCCACTGTCAGCTGGGTTTGGATAGATGAATGGATGCCTACTAACTATTTTCCAGGTACAAACATTCAAACATCACTCCGTTTAAGCATCATAAGGTCTTAAAGAAGTGTTGCAACAGCAGATGTGGAAAACATATGGAAATTTGTCAAGCACATGAAAAGAAAGTCTCCTTCACTGAAATAAAAATGGGACAATTAAATGAGAGAATAGCTGCAGAGGTTAGCAGGGATGTTTAGAAGTGTTCCTCACCTTTTCTCTCAATAGGAGCATGGATCAAGCCGGTGCTCTCGTTGACGTGGTAGGTCTTCTTATCAAACTGCAAAGTCGGTTCATCCTCTGTGTCATTGATGTTGACAATGGCGCGCGTGTTTCCGCCCAGCAGTGCATACACAGGCATGCTCAGCTCCACGTGGAAGCTCTCGGCTCCCTCAAAAACCTTGTCATCATTAATCACTATGGTGCACAGCTTGATTTCCTCACGCTCATCAAACTGTACCTAAGAATTAATGGGACAATAGTCGTGTTGGTCATGTGGCTTCTCTCATGACAGAATAACAGCAATGCATTAAACCAAAGGACACAGATGATGGAGGATGCAGAATAGGAACCTCTTGTATTCTTTGATCAGTGTATGTCAAAACCCATCAGTAAAATCCAGTATAATCTAGTGGTGACAAGCTAATGTTTGAAAGGCTAAGCACAAACTTTAAACTGGGAAAGTTTGTTCTCAAGGCAAATTATTGGACAGGGACAATTCCAATTAGACCAACCTGAAAGTCTTTACAATAGTCTTGAAGAAAAATCATACGTTTTAAATTAATAATTATCAGGTAATGAATTTAATATCAATGTTAGACAAAACAGAAAAAGTTGATGTAATACAGGAATGTGAGATCAGAGGTTGTTGTTCAACCAAAATGATGTAGAAAATCAAACCCAGAGGCAGAAAGAGGCCGAAATGTTGGTGTTTTGTTTTGAAACTTCCTAAACAACAGCTCTACAAACAAAATGATCAGAATCTGACACTGCTCACCTGCCCAGCATATTCCACATAGTCCTGCTGGCCTGGATGCGATCCGTCGCTGCTGGTGGAGGTGGCGCTGCCCTGCTCGGTGCGGCACAGCACGACGGCGTACTGGTTCAGGTTTCCTGTTCGCTTCACTGTCACTGCCACTGTACCAGCCTTCTCACTCACATTGTAGCTGTGGAGTTATCACAGGAAGTGAGAGGTTACTTTACTTTATTAAAAAAATCAAAACAAAACAAAAAAGAGCAAAGTTCCAGGAAGGTACGAACTGGTAAAACTCCTGGAAAACTGTGACCAGTTTCTTCACTGAGCAATGATTTTCATAATAATAACTTTTGCTGAGTAAACAAACATCTTAGTTTCAGTAAAAACACTACATGACACAAACCTTTTGTGCTCAAAGCTGATGAGGGACCACTGGATGTGGAAGACGTTGTCACTGACCACGTTTGGTTTGCTGTCTTTGACCAGGAACTTGAAGGTGTCCATCGTTTCCTGAACGTTCTCCTGATGCAGCACGTAGCGGATCAGACCAAGATTGATATCGGCTAGAAAGGAACAAGCTCAGATTAACAGATCAAACACCGAATTCCTTTAACTCACTGATTCGCTTAGTGCTTCGTCTCATCTCCCAGATCAGGTCACCAAAAAGATGGGAGTCCATTACACATCACGGGAAGAACAGCAGATCATGGTAGCATGTGAAAAAATAAATTTTGATATCAAAATAATATTTTCAATGTGCCAAAAAACACTGACCTTTAGCCAGGATTTCACTTTGACCTTAGTGGGAGGAAAATGGAAATCCAGGCACTGAATCTCAGTAACATAAATCATTGTGAAGATTGTATTTTCTCTGAAATAATGATTCTGTAATTTGCAGCCTCGGGACATTTTCCAATACTTGAGAGAAAAAAAACTTCACAATGAAGATGAGTCTCGTGACCGACTCGTGAAGCCAAAAAAAAAAAGAGAGCGCCTGTGCTAGAAAGATGTTCAGATGACTGTCAGGACATAAAACACTGACAGAGATGAGCAGTGCTAAACGGGGCCACACAAACAAATGCACTAATATCCAAACACACATTTTCAGACTGAGTGCTGGATCGTGGCTCAGTATGAGAGCGTCCGTTAACCGGGATAATGTCGACAGCTCGAACTAACCCCCAACCACATGTTCATGGTTTTTTCTCTCAGGGTGAAAGGTTTATTTATTTCTCTTGTTGGATATTTGTTATTATTCAGAAAATGACGTTCACAAGCTCCAAATCGACAATGCCACAAATTGAAGTGACAGTTTGGAGTCGCTCTCCAGCCAAGAGGATCAACATTTTACACTGACACTGATCCCTGGCTGCAGCCTACAGGTGAAGATAAGCAGGCTCATGATGAGAACACTGAAATGGGAAGCAGGGGAAACCAAAGGAAAAGCTCCCACAGCTGCTGATGTGTGTTTGATCAAAACTCTCAGTCAAGAAAAGAGCAGACAGGCAGGAAGGTTGGGGAAAGATTTTGTCCTTAACCCCTCAAACCTTCTCCCTCTGACAAGACAGAAAATGAAGACAAATGTAGGAATCCCAGTCCAAAACAGGATGGGGCAGAGAGGCAACATTACAAAAAACAAGCTGTGCTGACGCTAACTAGAACCTCAAGTTGATTAATGGCTATAAAACCTCACTTCACTATCAAACAAAAATGGCTGTGGTAAAAGCAGCCGTGCACAGCTTGTTTGTCAAAAATACATAAATAAAAGGAACCAATCAAGCACAACTGGGGTTCAGGAGGTAGAGCAGGTCGTCTCCTAACTGGAGAATTGGTGGTTCAATTCTGGGCTTCTCCAGTCCACTTGCTGAGCAAGACACTGAACCCAAAGTTGCTGCCGGTGGCTGCACGCCCCGGTGTGTGAGTGCCAGTGAGCAAAAATGCTTTGAGTGCATAAATGCATAGAAAAGTGCTGTACAAGTATAAGTCCATTTACTGAATACAAAACAACCATCAGCTACTGTGAAGAGGCCACCTCAGAGGGAAAGGACTACCACAGGATACGTGCTGTAATATGTTACCATGCATCTGAGACAGAAGCACCAGGGCAGACAGAGGCAGAACCATGTACCTTGTGTGAATGTGGTGATGGGGTTGCCGGGTTTGAGCTTGCTCTCCAGGAATCCGTGTTTTGGCTCGGTAATGATTTCATAAACCAGCTGTCCATCATCTGTATCTGGGTCCATGGTCAGCAGCTCCTTCTTGGTGATCAGGTTGGTGGCCTGACCAGACATCAGACAGAACTGAGTCAAACAACCTGGGCGAGCACAGCTATACTTAAGATTAATTTGTAGTTTACAGTTTATCAACATGCCAAAGTGTCTACGGGCTCATATACTCCCTCCCTGCTTGCCCAGCACTGTATGTAGTGTTTTCACAAGCTTGATGCAGATTAAGATCCTGACATAAGCTGTTTTTCCAGGACTCCAGTGGGTAGTTCAGTACAGACACTGATACTCAGCTGTCATTTTTATTCAGGTGCCCTTCAGGTAAAACGTGCACCCACAGAGCTCCTGCCACAACAGAGACAGACTCAGCACACCACTGCTGCAGCTCTGTTAGTGGCTCCGAATCCTTTGGATCAGCAGCTGTTGTCATTTAAAAAGACAAAACTATCACAGCTTTATTTTAAATTTAGCTTTTAGGGGTTTATGTGTCAATAATATTTTTAATTATAAAAAGGTATGTCAATGTTACAAGCAACTGATCCATAAAGAAAGACCAATTTGAAAGGATCCAGGATCAGCTTGTTAAGTCTACCACACACAACAGAAGGTATTTTGTTCTTGAAAAAAGACTGTGTCCTGCTGGAACACACTTTTTACTTTGCTTTCTTTCCTGTTGTCAGGAGCAGATGCAAGAGTTTAACATTATGACAATTTGCCTCATTGATAAAACATCCAAGACTTAATTACCTGCTGTTCAAACACAGCACAGACTCAGGGTATATGAATGAAGTGACACTAACAGAGTCTACGATAGAAACGACTGGCATTCGTTGTGATGAGATCTTTGAACCAGCAGGGGGAGCAAGTAAATTGCACAATATGAGCAAACAGTGATAGCCCTTCTCTTTGCACCGCTGTCAGTCTCAAAGACAGAGAACATATGATGACACCATCGGCTACTGAGTAATCACACAGGGCGGCATGCGCTTGGTCCAACAGTCACGCTCCCCCCCCACCCCTTTCTACCAGGAATTTATTAATTATTTATTTGGTTTAATTTAATTTTTCTTTAATATATACTGAATGTCACATGGCATAGCAGTGGACACGCCTACACTTTCACACACACAAACTAAATGTAAAAATCCCTTTGTCCCTTTGTTAATGTTTGTTGTCTCTGTTATGTCCTTTGTCCTGTTTTTTCATGTTGCAGTGAAAAAATGAAAATCATCAAAGTGAATAAAAGCTATTTTCTGAAGAAAAAAAGAAAAAGATCTCCATCACTGGGCCCATCACTCCTTTTTACACCTATCAAACATCAAACCTTTTTATCTTATGTTTTATTTATGATCGTGTGTTCATACTAAAATCCAAGGGAGAACATGTTAAAGTGAAAACACTCGTCTTCATCATGGCACTGGACAGAACAAAGCATATCTTTAGATTTCTACCTTGTTGTCCATGTATTCCAGCCACTGCAAGCCCAGGTTGGTGACGATACGCGGTGTGCCATCGTCAACTGGCAGGATGTCAATCTTGAACTTCTGGGGAGCAGCTGTCACGATCTGGAAAACCAAAGGAGTGGACATAAAAGACATCTACTTTCAAAGATGGTGGAGGTACGGAGACGGTACTTTTAGGGAAGAATTTAAGGGACAGTCACAAAAAAAATTTTAACTGCCTTAGATGTGGTTTTATTAGCCCAGGTTTTTGGGCATCGGTCCCTCAACTTTCTGCCTAGATCCCCATATAGTAGGGATGAATATAATGCCACAATGTCCAGAAGTTACACTCTACCAGTCAGCAGCAACATCGGGTTGAGGGTCCTGGTACATGGGATAATGTGCAGATGTCACTGTGAGTGTTTAGATCAAGTCATCAACTCAAAGTGGAAAAAGTTCTCATTAAATGGATATACATGGAATGTGACAGGGCAAAAACAAGGCCTGCAAGTTATTACTTTATTGATTTGTCCCCCTTCACACTCTGATGATTGGTTAAATCAGATAAACTGCCTCAATATTACTAGTTACTGCATTGTGTCTGAGGTGCATGAGGGAATACAGAAAGGGCACCCTGTCATCACACAGATGCTGTTAAGGCCAACTTTGACATGTGCCATTTGACGGATGCCTCCATCCACATGGTTTATAGGTGCTCATACATTATTTAATAACAGTGGACCTCCAGTGGGAACAAATTCAGCTCAAACAGCGGCAGCATTAATGCCACCAACTGTCCTCCTGCTGCAAAATGTGTGTGACCGCTGATCCACGTGGCCCCAGGTGATGGAACGATAATAGACACAAGCCTGAGAAGCGTGTGCGATTCTGCTGTCATTGAATTTAATCATACGGACCACTTAGTAATGACAGGTGGTGGAGGGACGGCTGAGACGACAAACCAAGGAGTCAGTCCACCCCGAGGCTTGCTCATGTCTACCACCATAAAGCTTACATTAACAGCACACGTATACAGATGTGTGTACCAGACGTGTGAGGACGTGTTTTTAATGCATTGTAGACCAGTGGTTTCTGATCAGCCCCACCACTGGGCCACAAAGGCTCATGAGACAAATGTAAAGGATTACAAGATTATTATCAGGGTAGGAACCAGGAAAATACTAAAGTCTGCCACATATCTTTTCTGGCTTCTCTCTAATTTCTTGTGAAGTGGTGCATAGTTCAACTTCTTCAGCCATCTAAAAGTTATTCCAAGGGAACTATCTTTGGGGCTAAGATCACTCTGCTTTGTGCACACTGCTTCATATTAAAGAGTAAAAAGCAAAAATGTCCTCATAGTCCAAGGATATTATCGCTTTACATCCACATTTTCCAAAAATGTCCCCACATACAGTACCATTTCACATCCTCGCTCTGTAAAATGCTCTTACATTTCAAAAATGCCCACAACTTTTCTATAATGCCCTCACATTCCAAGTCCATCATTTGTCATTCATTTCTAAAAATGTCCCCAATTCCCAAGAATACCATCACTTTTTTAACATATTGACATTTCCCACATAATGTTCTAACATTTCAATTATGTTTGCACTTTCCATAAATATTTCTAGGGTCCAGAATGTCCTAACGTCAAAAATGTCCTATGAATATCCTACCTTTCAAATTTGCCGTCACTTTATGAAATGTCCTTACTTCTAAAAAATGTCCTGACTCTGCATAAACGTTCTAACTTTTTAAAATGTATTCTCTTTCCAAAGATCTTCCCAGTTTCCAAAATGTCGTCAGTTGTGTCTCTTGAAAGATGTTTTCTAAAGTGTCACTCTCTAGATCAACAACTGAGCCAGGTCGTCACAAAAAGTACAAGAACACACACACAGACTGCTGATTCGCGCCTACCGTCACCAGCAATCACACACACACAAACACCGACCTTTAAATACACACACCCACATGTGCCTTAACTCTGCTAATTCAATCATCTAGATCTAAAATGTCAGGAAGCTGCCTCGTACACACGCTGGCACTCAATCTAACAGCAAATTTAGCCTTCCTGCTGTTGTCAAAATGTCAGGTTTTACATCACACACACACACACACACACACACACACACACACACACACACACACACACACACACACACACACACACACACACACACACACACACACACACACACACACACACACACACACACACACTGTTACCTCCTTGCCACCCTCCTCCACCATGAAGAGTAGGTTGGTGCCGTCGGCCACGGTGAAGGTGAAGCGGTCCTTGAGTGAATTGGAGCCGTCGTGGTTGTAGCTAATGCGGTTCTGGTAGACGTCATCCATAGTGAAGCTGGTTGTCTGTCGGTAGTGTTGGCCGTTGATCGTGCGCTCGATGGTGCCATGACGAGGAGCCTGGACGATGGTAAAGACGATGGACTCTGCCTGAAGGAGGAAGAGGAAGAGGGATGACAGACAGGTGTCTGTCAGTGAGGGTGTCTTCCCAAAGGTTCACTGCTGAAGATGAACCAGAGGCAGGAGTTTTCTGACCCAGAACAAACTCTCTAACTATGGTTGAGTTCACCTACATGGAAATACAATGCACAGTTGTTCTTTTGTTCTCAAGGGTTACTGAAGTAACTCATGGAGTGCACGGAGACTCACAGCCTGAAAGATTTAACCGACTATCCTCGAAGCAACAGAATACAGTTATTGCCAGAGAAATCCCAGCAGAGGGCAGCTAATGCAGCACAATCATTTGGAGGTTCTACTCTTGTCTAAACATGGTCAGCCAGTGTCCTACCTCTGTGTCTGCATCGGTGGCCTTCAGCTCAAACTCGGTGATGGTCTTCCTCACACCCTCCTGAACCCTCATGCCAGGAACCTGGAGCAGAGGCAGGGAGTCATCTACCGGCTTGATGGTGATGTAGAAGGTCTGGGCAACCTGCAGATGACACACATAACAAACAATTACCACTGCAATGCATCATTTAATGTCGCAACAACAACACCCATTTTATTTACAAGGAAATATTAAAAATCACAATAAAAATACAGAGCAGAAGAAACGTAAGATGGAAAACACGAGACAAAAGACAAAACCTCAGTCCAAGCTGGTGTTGTATGCCTGAGAAAAGTCTTTAAAAGTGTACAACACTTCTCTAACTAACTCGCTAACCTGACAAATAAAACCTGCTGGACTGTCCGAAAAACTCACAAAGCCTCAAACAGAACTGCTTTTCTTATTTCACGAAAACTTTTAAAGATCGATAGTTTTCCAAAGACACAGACCACAAGTCAAGTTGTTTACAATAAAATGAAATCTGCCATGAGCTAAATACATTTCACTGAGGTGAGAAAAATACATGCAGTCAGTTTCTCTGCCCAGGTGCATATTCAGCAATGCAATCTATAATGGGAACCCAGATGACATAACCCAAATAACAGAAACTACAGTTACATCAGTGTGTGTACTGGTATGCCCCCGAGCCATCCCATCTCACCACAGACTGGTATCACTATAAAAGGCAGAATACAGGTCTCCACACTGGAGAGAGGAGAGTTAACAAAGGTAAAAGCAGCAAACCACTTTGCAAACACTAACCACTACTGAGACCACACACACTGTGATCAGCCAGGCGTGAAGGCCAAACGACCTCTTTCACTTGTTTACTCAGGTCCTTGTGGTCCACATTAGTCTGGATTAGCAAGGCAGATTTATGCACAAGGTGAACTGGGGGATACTGGAAGGGCCGGAATGCCTCTTCCTCACCACTCTAAACTCTCGCGGTTCATGAGATTTGATATACCTTTAATTATATATTAACAATTTTTAAAACCCTTTAGGTCTTATATTATGTATAAGGCAATTACTATGCTATCAGGTAAAAAATTTTAATGGGGTGGGGGGTGGGGGCAGAAAGTGTTGTTAAAAAGATTTGATTTGATTTGATTTGATTTATTCTTTCAAACATGCAGAACAAATGACATCAACACACACACATAATTACACAGATCAACCAATGCTAATCCAGAATCAGTTTGCTTATACCTAGTACATGTTTGAATGGAGTAGGAAGAAGTCAGACTTATCCAGTCCTACCCCATAACATCATCTTATACAAAAAATTTCATGCATCATTGGCTGCAAGCAGTATCTCTACATAGGTAATTCTCTTCTGCACCAGACAAGTAATACACAGAAAATTTAAAACAGAGTGTTTCCTTCATGCATTCTTGATTAAATCTCTTATTCTTGCATATATCTTGAATGACACATACATTTATATTTATATTTAAACTCCTCAATTCTAGTACTGTTTTTCATGTCCACACTTAAA